ACCAAACTGGAGAAGTATAATACAGTATTTAAAGTACACAGTGTATCATTATATTAAATAACTTACATTGGTTCATTATATCAGAGAGTTACATTTTTGCCATTAGTTGAATTGAGTTATAATCATATAAGTTTTAGAAAAAGTATGTTCTACATGAGAGTAAAAAGTATTTTGCCATGAAAAAACTAAATAGTTTACTTTTAAAGTCACTAGCAATCCTGTATTTTAATAAATACAATTTTATCCTTTACTTTCGGCAATTTAATATTGCTTCTAAAAAATCAAGATTTCAGTTTTACTCGGATTTATTTTTAGATACAATAATTAAAAAAAAATTCAATATATTTAAGTTTTTTCTATTGGTGAGTAAGACATCGTTTGCATACAATAAGTAGCGAATTGTTTTGCTTCCTGTTTTTGTGTCTTATTCAATATCAAATATTTGCTCAATGTCTGAGATGTAAAAATCGAATAGTCACAGTGAAACTGGATACACTAACCCCTTTAATCTATAATTCTACCAATAAATTCGGTACTTGTATTGAAAGCCTTTCGATGTGTATAAAAGCAACAGACTTCTGTTTCTTCTTTGATAATTGGATCTGTAGAATGGAGTGTAAAAAAAAACACTTCTTGAGTTGTATCTCTATTACGAGTGTAAGCAAACTCACTTATTAGGCTAAATTTGAAAAAATTGTAACCTATAAATTCCCTACTATCGTCCGTCTGTCAGTCTGTCCGTCTTTCCTTAATCTCGAGAACGTTATATAGATGAAAGACGAGACCAGATATGGAAAGCTTACAGGCAGAAGGTCCTGATTAACTATATANTAGTCGAACGGTACACACTCGGTAAGTAATCCTATAATTTTTTGTTTATAGCATAGTTTATACGGATTACTATAAACTGTGTCGAAATAGTCTAGAATCGGTTAATTTTATAGAAGAAAACCTTTCGAACAGCCTTAGTCCGTAAAGTTCCCACCTATCGGGCTGCGATTGGCTCATGTATTTAATCGTTCCTACAACGTAATTTTCGGTTAGCGTGGAACGTATCTAAGCGTTATAGGGGGGTCTACTATATATTGCAGAGTGCCCACAATGTCTTTGTGAGATTCAAGACAATATTAAGTTCGTTCTTGAATCTCTAGAGAGTCCAGATTGAGAATAGCTTGGTGAAAAATTTAGTGGATGATAGATTAAATGTGGATCCAATATGCTGTCCAATATAGTATGATATCAAAATCTATATTTAACAGCATGCGATAATTCTCTTAAAAGAATTGTGAAAGAGAAATTCCTTAACTCAGCTTTAATAATTGAAGATATTAAAACACAGTTATCAGGAATTACTTTAATGACTTCTAATCAACGACATAACGGCCGTATGGCTGCGTAGTAAAGGTGTTAGTCAGCCTGTCGTTCCAAATACCGAGGTCAAGCTTGGGTGGCCTGTCGGAAATTTTTATGGATAGCCTGTCTGGATGTTCGGCCATCACCACCAGTTGCTGGGCTTGATCGAACTCATAATGGGTATGATTTATAAGCCCTTTTAGCACCCTCAGGACAGAAAGAACTGAAAAAGATTGTCAACCTGGAAAATGGTCAGAAAAATATGAGGAAAAATTAAAATGTATGCAGAGAATAGAGATAACTAGCCGTAAAACAGCCTCCTAAATATGTTCCTGTACAAATGTTGACATTAATTGATGGTCAGATTGCCGATGTAGTTAAGGCCTCGGCTTACCGTTATAGGGGATCCTGGAAAGAATTCGGACGGGTCGAAAAATTCCATTAATTTTTTAGGGTGGTCCGTCCCTGATCCTCTCATCTCACCACTATGGGCCTGGCCGAACTCAAAAAAGGCTTTCTTAAGCGGAAAGAATAAATAAAAGCCTTAACGCTTAATTAAATTTGTTTTTCTTCTATTTTTCTATTAGGGTATTATAGCTCTTCATTTATTTATGAGAAAATTAAAACAGCTTCATTGAGCCGATCACAGGCCAAATCGATTAACTCCCTTAGTTATGCGAAAAATGTAAAAATAGTATATCCTTGGAATAATCGTTATATTTTAAATGTTATATAAGTTATAATGTAATAATACATCCTATAATATTTATTTCAATTTAATTTTAAAAGTGATTTTTAAAAAGAATTCACAGTAGAGTTATTATTTTTTGTAACTGCATCCTAAAACGTAGAGAAATTGATACACACTATATCATTTTCTCTACTTTTTAGGCTGCAGTTTCCAAATTGCATAACTATAAATTCCCACTGACTGTCAGTTTGTCAGTCTGTCTTTCCTTAATCTCGAGAATGGAGTTAGATAGGTAAAAGTAGAGAAAGCTATGGAAAGGTCAACGGTATGAAGCCTCGATATATGAACTTCCGGTTTTAAACGGACGTCAAGTTATTTCAATTCAAAAATTTTGTCCAGACGGAGTTACATAGATAACTGACTTTGATGACTGTTGTTGTCAGGAAAAGTATGATGTACAGTACAGGGGCAAGACACTACTAAAATCGAGAGTATATATTTTAAATTAAATAAATTAACTAACAATTTGACTAAAAATTGCAGCCCGACATTGTGACGATGTCACAATAAATAATGTTCGTTGTTTTGTGGAGTTAATCGATTTGACAAATGAGCAATTCAAGTATTGCGTTATAACAGAGTTCAAGACAGATCTTAAGTTATTATCCTGCGAAATGCTTAACATTAGATCATTGTTTATTTAGGAAGTTGTCTCGCAAATCAATAAATTATTTTGCAGTTAGTCAGCATCCATAATGTTTAAGAATCTTTCTATAATCATTATTAATGAAGGCAGGATGACCAAGATAGTTAATGCGACAGCCTACAGCTCTAGGGCACCCAGGATAGAATACGAGAGAGAAACTACAAGAAATTTTTGAGAGGATGGTTCTTTCCCGGATATAAATTGAGCCCCACCCCACTTTACTCTACCGTCTCCACTGTACGGTTTGACCGAATTCATAATGGGTAAGATTTATTGATAAAAGAAATTCTTCGGGCTCACAGAACAAAAAATAAATAAAATAAAAATAAATAAATATGAAAAATTCATCACTAAATTAGATGCATGCTATAATAAATATCATATGTTAGTATGTAATAAAGTTCATAAGTAACACACTATTTCCACCGATAATATTAACATAAGTATGTTAATGAATTAGAATTGAACGCCATGATAAGGTATGAACTTCGCCTATAAGGTAATTTTCCAACAGATGCCAAAACATCAAACAAATATGATACTTTGTTTTGAGTTCTGTAATTATTACTGCTTTTATATTAACTTTTATCTTATCTAAAGACACATTTGCTTAATTCTAACATTAAGTATAGTTATAAGTATATAAAAAATATTCCTCAAAACGAACTTTTAAATAATTTTGTNTAATTAAAAAAAAAATTCAATATATTTAAGTTTTTTCTATTGGTGAGTAAGACATCGTTTGCATACAATAAGTAGCGAATTGTTTTGCTTCCTGTTTTTGTGTCTTATTCAATATCAAATATTTGCTCAATGTCTGAGATGTAAAAATCGAATAGTCACAGTGAAACTGGATACACTAACCCCTTTAATCTATAATTCTACCAATAAATTCGGTACTTGTATTGAAAGCCTTTCGATGTGTATAAAAGCAACAGACTTCTGTTTCTTCTTTGATAATTGGATCTGTAGAATGGAGTGTAAAAAAAAACACTTCTTGAGTTGTATCTCTATTACGAGTGTAAGCAAACTCACTTATTAGGCTAAATTTGAAAAAATTGTAACCTATAAATTCCCTACTATCGTCCGTCTGTCAGTCTGTCCGTCTTTCCTTAATCTCGAGAACGTTATATAGATGAAAGACGAGACCAGATATGGAAAGCTTACAGGCAGAAGGTCCTGATTAACTATATACGAATTTCAGGTATACACCGAAAGTAACATGATTTCAATTCAAAAATTTTCCCCAGGACGGAGTTACATAGATGACCGGCATGACTGTTACTTACAGGAAAAGTATGATGTACAGGGGCAAGACACTACTAATTTAAAGTAGAGAGCATATATTTTAAATTTATTTAATTTAAAATATAATTAAAAATTGCAGCACGGCATTGTAACGATGTCACAATAAATATTTGCTCGTTCCTATTAAATCATTTTGTTTAATCCATTCGTAAAATTTTGTTTTTAGTAAGTAAATGTAAATGCCCTTCTCAAAGTCGATAGTAGAACTACAGGGTGATAGCTTAATTTTCGATTCGTTTCTTTTTCGATATTAATATAGCCTTATATTCTAAAGAAATTGAAAAATTTAAATTTGTTCAATCAAATANTCATTATTTTAAAAATATAATACAATTTTTTTAATATACTGGGATCTAAAAATGATAAATGGCCCGAACAATGGCGTAGGCAGATTTAGAAGTGAGGTAGAGTAGTGATAAAATAGGCGCCTAGTATTTGTTTGAATATAGTTAATAGGATCTTACTTGGCTCCTATTAACTACATTCAAACAAATTTAGGACAGTATTTATTATATTTATTATAGGGAAGCATTCGCGCTCCTTGTACTGTACCTCCCCTGGCTCTTCCACTGGGCCCAGATCTCTTTTGAAAGGCCTACTATGATACAAAATATGATAATGTTATATGAAAGAGTAATGATTTGTATATTTTTTTAAAATTTTAGTGAAAGAATTGGAAGAATGAAAGTCCGTAATTATTCAAAATTATGCAATTTCAGCACAATAACAATTTTGAAATTTTTTAAATTTAATTTTTTAACTATTGAATTGTTTAACATTACTGTATTATTATTTTTAAAATATGGTAAATTTATGATAAAAATAATATATGTAATTTTCTTTTAAAATTAATAACAAATTTAATTAATTTATTTACTTTATCATTTCTTCACTAATTATATCATTCACGTTATTATATTATTCAAAATTGTACAAAATTACCATATTCCATATTATTGGGATTTTGATTCAAATCCTGACCACCAGGTGTCAATACAATCCATTTACTTCCTTCCACTCCATTTTGTGTCTGACAGATGCAAGTAGCATCAATTTCTTTCTTTGGTTCTTCATTGCTGCTGCTGTTAATAAACACAAATGTTAATGAAACAAATTTTAACATTATCAAATCTATATGCAAATTTTTACTGGCTATTTTTCCATTTGTTAAAAATTTATATTATTGCAAAAGGATTGATTTGAAAATTGGATTGATTGATATATAAGGCAAAACAATATTTGAACGATCTACCAAGGAGAGATGTCTCCCGGTAGGACTTTTATGGAAAATATTTTTTGTAAACTTTATAAAAAATGTAAGAAATCTAATTATGGTTAAATTATTGAGAAAATTGAATATTTCTCTTCAATATAAAATATTGTATCAACATTAACTTTTTTAAAAAATATCTCTTTATGTATATGTTACCGCTAAAGCTCGAAATCCGTTAATGTGTACATTACCTAGCTAATCTGCAGATTAACTAGGGTGATCCGTTAAAGCTGCGAAAATTATTCCATTTCTCAAATTACCTAGGTAATCTGCAGATTATCTAGGTAATCTGCGAATTACCTACTAGACACTCGGTAAAGTTAAAATAAGATCTTTGCTGGAACAACAGCAACGTTTCTGTACGCTTAAATTAACATAATGTTATTTATTTAATTTTCAATATCTAAAGAATCAAGTTAATACAATCAACAAATTAGTTGATTGAATCAATCATCAATCAATTAAAAAAAC